ATACCAAAAGAGATAGCATGTGACAATGGGCCTCAATTTATCGGTGCAAAAGTTACAATATTCCTCGAAGATTTGAGGATAAAGAGGATCATATCTTCTCCTTATCATCCAAGCGCAAACGGTCAAGCGGAGTCAACAAACAAAGTGATTATTCAAAACCTCAAGAAAAGGTTGGAAGCAGCAAAAGGCAATTAGCCCGAAGAATTGCCCGAAGTTCTATGGGCCTACTGAACAAGGGCCAAATCGAGTATAGGAGAAACTCCTTTTTCCCTTGTGTACGATGTTGAAGCCCTAATCCCGATGGAAGTAGGTGAGCCCACTTTGAGATATTTTCGTGCAGATGAAGAATCGAACAACAAAGCGATGTTAATAAACTTAGAATTGCTCGAAGAACGTAGAGACTTGGCGCATCTAAGAATGGCAGCTCAAAAAGCAAAGAATGGAGCGATATTATAATCGAAGAGCCAACTTCCGTTATTTCAAAGTAGGAGACTTGATTCTGAGAAAAGTAACCCAAAATACCCGGGAGATCAACGCGAGGAAGCTAGGTCCAATGTGGGAAGGTCCCTACCGGATTTCAGCTTTCACTGGGAAAGATTCATACGAGTTGGAGAACCAGAATGAAGACAAGTTGCCTAGCAACTGGAAAGTGGCTCTTCGATTTTACTGAAAAAGTCATAAGATCTACAGAGATTGCTACAAATTTTTAAATACAACTGTTTGAAAATAGGTAAAACAGTGTGAATACAAAATAGGAAGGTGACTCTGAAGCCTGCGAACGCAGCAGCAGATTTACCTTGAGTCTCCACAGCAACAATCCGTACAGCTAGCTAATGATCAACTGACTTCTAAATACCCGGATCTATTGTAGATATATCAATTTGTATTAAATTTGTACGAAATTTATTTTTAAATTTGTATGTCGTTGTACCATCAAATTGTATAATATTAATTGTAAGTACGATGTATCAATTTTAGTGCTGATTTAAATAGGCTTCGTTAATTTGTGATAGATTAGTGTATTGGGTAAGTTAACCAATCAAGTAAAGCAGAATATTTTACTAGCCCCGCACGATAGTTATTAACCTCGTAAAATCTTTGGACAAATTTTGATACATATCAGCAACTTTATGTAAAAAGATAGTATTGATAACTTAAATACAAATTTTATACAACGATTCATACATTATACAACTATTTTTCAACTTTCATACAACATTCAAATAAAAAATATATATAACTATAACAGAATACAATTTACATACAATTATACTATAATTTTACTACAATTTCATAAGTATATTGTATGTCATGTGTTCTTCTTCGAGTTTCAATCTGAAATTCAGCCAAAATCAAGTCTAATCTTTACCAAACACCTTCAAAATTGAGATATAAACTCCAAACAATATTCCCAATTGTTTGCAACAACACCCAATCCAAATAAATAATAGTTTTTGAAAACCCAAATTTGAATTCAAAGCTTTTTAATAGCTGTCAATGGTGGAGAGTCAAACACCTGAATACAAAAAACTCTTTACTGCTCATCGTCGAGGGGGATTTTCATCCAACTCATTTCTTCCAACATTGGACAGTAGTACAATGCTTCAACATAGCCATTCAATGGAAAAACCAATCACCTTCAAAGAGTTCAATACCAAATTTAATTTGTGACTGGTTTAGGCATTTTGCAGCCAAAGTTTATCGTTCCGAGGCTCATAACCCACTTGATGTTCAAAGCCAATTTTGCCAATCACTCAAGTTATTCCAATAACTCAGCACGATCTAGGATTGTACTTCGGGCCTACACTTTTCCGATGACGGGAGCTGCTATTGCCACCATCAGATACTCAAACGTGGTTAACATCACTGTTCCCTTTAGTTATGCCTTTTTCAAGCAAAGAATCACCTAATTTAAGAATTAATAATGGATTGAGTGCCTTTTAAGGTGGAATGTATATAATTTGTAAGTAATCCTTGTTTAGAGCGGGTAATATACAAAATTAGGACAGTAGTACAATGCTTCAACATAGCCATTCAATGGAAAAGCCAATCACCTTCAAAGAGTTCAATACCAAATTTAATTTGTGACTAGTTTAGGCATTTTGTAGCCAAAGTTTATCGTTCCGAGGCTCATAACCCACTTGATATTCAAAGCCAATTTTGCCAATCACTCAAGCTATTCCAACAACTCAGCACGATCTAGGATTGTATACTTCGGGCCTACACTTTTCCAATGACGGGAGCTGCTATTGCCACCATCAGATACTCAAACGTGGTTAATACCACTGTTCCCTTTAGTTATGCCTTTTCCATGCAAAGAATCACCTAATTTAAGAATTAATAATGGATTGGGAGCCTTTTAAGGTGGAAGGTATATAATTTGTAAGTAATCCTTGTTTAGAGCGGGTAATATATAAAATTAGGACAATTTTAGTAAACAAGTTTCAAATATTGTATAGGAAGGAAAAAATATGTTCAAATTGATTAGTCCCAATCATAAAATGAAAACTTAGCAATTTTTGTAAAATAATGTTGAGTATAAAATTTATTAGACATAGTAGATAACGATTTCTTAAATTCCATTCTTTCTATTTGCCATTTTAATATGTTAATGGCATTTTGCAATCTACATTAATCAGTTGATGTTAAGTGAAAGGGGAAAAGAAGATGAAGCACTAAAGGAAGACGGACAAAATGCAAGGCATAAAATTTATTATGTCAGAAGTGGGATTTGAACCCACGCCCTCTTTCGAAGACCAGAACTTGAGTCTGGCGCCTTAGACCACTCGGCCATCCTGACATTTTGTTATTTATAAGGGATAAATTATTTTAGCATCATTTTCATTTGGAATGGTAATATATATTCAAACGTGATTACAAGAACATATGCGCCAACAAGATGCAAAACAGTACAGGATACTTTATTCTAGCTATTCTTTTCTCATTTCCTATCATATCGAATAACTTGCTAGATATTGATAGGTGTATTGTCTAGGAACAAAATCGGGACATGATCGGAAATAAAAATTTAAATTTACATACTGAACCCAAAAAAACACTACTATACATCTGACTTCTTTTACGTGTTGTTATTGTTACTACTTGTTGCCATTGTTATGTTTCTATCTTTTCTTTAACTGAGAATCTATCGGAAACATCTTTTCCCTTCCAGCATAGGAGTAAGGCTGCGTACATCCTACCCTCCCTAAATCTCACTTGTAAAATTAACTGAGTTTGTTGTTGTTGTTGACTATTATGCGTTGACTTATTTTACAAATGAAAAGTGTCGCTCTTTGACTTAGCATTAGTCAGCTCTAATTTTTTAAGGGAATTGCTCTATTTTTATCTTTCTTTGTAGTTTGTTCGAGTTTTTGGTCAAAATTATCCCTTATCTTTAAGGGTAAGTTTAGCTTTGTCCTCCAAATATAACCTTGAGCACCAGTTGTCCTCTAAGTTTGGAAAAGTTGAGCGCCTTTAGTCCAAGTAACAGAAACACAATACTCGTTAGAAAACTAACAGCAACATGCGATCTGCACGTGATACTTTTCACCTCCAAATCAGTTTCATCGCGCTTTTCTTTCCAAAATTGTACGGCTGAAAATTACAATTTACACAGTTCCGTTGTATTCAAACAAGACCCAGATCGCGGGCAAGACCCAGATAGCATAATAGCTTCAACAGAACAATGCTTAAAATTCAAACTCAAAACAACATGATCGGATAACTATGGTGCTCGCACCCAGCTATACCCCTAATTGGGAAGGTCAATTAGGAGTATGTATAATGGGGGTCAACTCATTAAAAAAAATTTTATATCTGCGATTGCTACATTTAAGTATCACTATATAAATTTCCTAGATTTTGATTTTCTCTCATCTGCTTGCATTTTGAAAAGCATTACTATATTCACTTGAAGAAGAAAACACCAAATGTCAGAAAAATAATAGAAAAAATTTACCAATGCAACATAGAAAATGTCGATGCCGGAGGCAAGGGACCTTGTTCCGTTTAGCTCCGACGACATGGTTAGAAGCACTTCTTGAATTCGACATTTAGAGCAATGTCGTTCTTAACTATTCCTCCCCATCTTACACTCAACCAATAAACCACCACTCCACCCAGTGAAATCAACAACTTTCCAAGCTTAAAATGGAATATTCGGTCGTGAATTTGACTGTTGGAAATTAATATTTTCCGTGCAAAAATATTAGGAAAAAATATATTAAATGGCGAAAAAGGAAAATAAACTTGGTCCAAAAAATTATCAATCAATCAATTGACCGAAGCCGAAGCCGAGCCGAGCGATCGACGACGACGGCACGAGGCTTGCTCTTTTCTCAACTCTTTAAGAGCTAGAAGAAGTGCTTCCATATATGAGCACAATTTGTTACTTGGACTAAAAGCGCTCAACTTTTGCAAACTTAGAGGACAATTTGGGCTCAAGGTTATATTTGAAGGACAAAGTTAAACTTGCCCTTAAAGATAAGGGATAATTTTGGCCAAAAACTCTAGTTTGTTCGATGTATATTCTTAGGCTTAACCTTTAGCTCAAGTCCTTAGTTAGCATGGACGGCATTCGGCTGCTTTGACTTACATAGCTAAAATCGACTATCCGACCAATTATTTTTTATTTTCTTACCTAATGTTTTCTACATTTTATCTTCATTCTGAGCTATTAAATACAATATAACATTTCAAGTTATAATGTGACAAAAAGATAGAGAACATTTTAGTTGTTACTAAACATAGCACCTTCCAAAAGTAGGTCATGAGTCAAGAATCTAAAGTATACTAATTTCAGAATGAATGTAATCTCATTATGTGTATACATTTCAAACGTCGAACTTTCTCCAGATGAATTATACTTACTTCAATACTTGTACAAGAATTATGTTGACTGTAAACTGAAGATAATGTTCTCTCCAGTGATACATACACGCTGCTACAATTGTAACTCGAAGAAAAAGAGAAACAGAAGAATTACTAGTCAACATTGTAACTCGAAGGAACAAAAAGCAGGCCAATTTCATTTTCAATTCAATATCCTTGTTGAACAAAAAGCAGGCCAGTTCAATTTCATTTAACTTACGTAACAACAAAATGAGTTATCATGACCTTGAATTCAATATCCTTGTTGAACAAAAAACGAACTGTATACATCAAAAGATTCTCCGTGACTTAGTTACTCCAACGAACATGCATGTCCTATAGATAAATACGATGTCTTTAGCGTGTTTTCTAGTAATGCAGAACTAATGAATGAATGCAATTGAATGACAGTACCTCTTGCAACATCTATCAAGAAACTAATATAAATATTACGAAGACCAGAAATTCCCAAAAGCTGCTACTTCGATTCATTCTTTGAAGGTGTAGAGCTGTTAAGTTGCTGCTGTGCATGTTGTGGAGGCTGAGACGATTGTTGTTGTTGCTGCTGCTGCAAGTGATGCATGTTTAGCTGAGTTGACTGCTGTTGCTGCAACTGGAACATCTGAGGATTGAGAGAAAGCTGCTGAAACTTGGCAGCGTCTGCACTTATCTCAGCGGTTGCAAGCTTCAACCGTTGTACTTCAGCAGTTAATGCTTCATTTAGAGCTGTCATGCGAAAATGCTTTTAAGGTTTCATATTTGACTTCTAAAACACCAAAAAACCTCAACAGGCATTAAAATATACAAAGTATTCGCCTGTTTACTCGTAGCATTGACGGAAACAGAAGACAAAATTGAAGCTTAACATCACCAACCCCCCCCCCAACCAAAAAGAAAAAAAAAACAAAAATATATATATATGGAGAGAGAGAGAGAGAGAAAGGATGTGGCAGAAAATGGAAAATAAACTGAAGCAGACACTGGATGCTACACCTACATTAGCAAGTAGCAACTGCTCCTACCCACCGTAACAAGACCGTTGGTTACCAGAGATTCCTCTAGTTTAAATTTCTAAGATGAGTTTTTTTATAAGTCTATTGGCATAGGATTCGGAGATTGTGTTTTAGCACCTATTGAATTTATTATGATAAATACACAAATTCTAAGATACAATTTATAAGACCATCACATAGTCACATGGCAAATATTATGCGCAAAGTTCACATTTAAGGATCATCTCATTCTTAAAATTCCCGAGTGAGGCAATTCATTTCTACAAAAAGATATATTAGTAACAAATTATATGCAACTTGGGGATTTTTTTGGATAATCGATAATTCTAGAGGCGGTGGGGCACGATTCGAAGTTTGGTGGATAATGGGCTTGCCTCTCTCCCATTCTTCCTTTAAAACTATGACTTTTGGATATGGCAGGGTTTGAATCCATGACGTGTGCCTAACCCACACATCACAGGCTGCGTTCTTACCACTAGACCAAGGCCTTGGGGACGCGACACTGGGATTTTGGTCAACTAGGGAATAGTAAATATAAACTAAAAAGAACTCCCTGGCAGTCCGTAACATAATTAAATATGTCATATACTGTTAATGCAGTCTAAACTTGCAACACATATGCATAAGTAATGCAAGATGCAAAGCAAAAAACAGATAAAGTTAACACATGGGTACTGAACAAGTGAAACACGATCTGAGAAAATACAAGAAGTCCTGGATCACAGAAGAAAGGTGTATACCATCACGGAGTTGAGCTTGCTGCTCCATGGCTTGCAAACGAAACTTCAGCTCGTGGTTTTGGCTCGTTAGCCCAGCAGAATCTCTCTGAATGCAAGTACAGGATATGTTTAAATAATGCAATAGGATACGTAGAAGCATTAACAGGACAATATTGAAAAGGCTATCACCTGCAACAGTGTCAGTTGAGCAGACAATGTGGTGGCTTCAGTCTGCAGTGTTTGCACCTTGTGTTCTAACTCCGCAATGTATCTCATCTTTCGCTCTTTTGAACGAGCAGCAGATTGACGGTTGGCTAAAATCCTACAATAATAAACAACAAAAAATAGGGCAGGTCAGCTGCATAACGAAGAGGAAAGAAAAGGCAAATACATTGCATCACTTTATAGGGGAAACAACCTTTTGGCCCGCTTTGGATCTGCTAAGGCTATCTCTGCAAGTTTCTCATTTGCCATAATTTTCTTCAATTCAGCTCCACTAAATTCACCATTTCCAAATTCCATACTGAAGCTGTTTGAATTTGCATCAAGCGAACTGGTCGGTGAGAGTTGGCCTGGGCGCGGTCCAGGAGACGGAGGCAACTTTGGTGAATCATCAACGAAGTTTAACTTCCCCATAAAACTATCCATCGAAACACTCCTGTAGTGCCTTGTGGTCGGAGCGATATCTCCCACAGCACTCCTTTTGATCCCTTCCTTCTTCTCAACAGAAGAAGATATCCCTAACCTCTGCATACTGCTGCCACTGTCATTCACACTGCTTGTAGCTTCATTATCACTGCTATCACCACCATTCGTCTTTGTACCACTCGCTCTACTATCTAAATCTTCACGGTTCTCATTGCCCAGCTTGTCATCAGTCCCAGAAGAGTTTAATGCATCAATGTTGTCCAAGTTCATATACGCGGAAAACAGGTCATCCACAACTTCTCCTTCAGATTTCCTCTCACCCATCCCTTCAGCATTGCTATCATTTCCTTTATCCCACATAGCTTCCCGTTTAACCAACTGAATTGGTTTTTCCCTTGAAGGAACTGACCTTTCAAGAGAACCAGGGCTCCTTAACGGAACAAGAGGTGGTGAGGACTGCATCATTGCAGAAAAGCCAAATGGGATATCACTATTTGACCGCCTATGAGCCTTACGAGGAGGAAGACTCTCTCCCGCCCTCGACGAATTACACCTCGTGAAAGGCGAGGGGGGCAATAAAGAATGTGAATTGCCATCCTGATCACCCATTGACACATCAGCTGATATAGGGTCAGACATGGACGTCGACGAGGATTCCCTATACGGTGAAGGGCTCAAGGGTGGCAAAGAATCCAATGAGAAAAACGACGGTTGTGATAAAGATCGCGAATGCGATGGCCCTGGACTAGTAAAATTCTGCATTCCCATTTGCTGATTCACAGGCCTTGTCACAGGGATCTGAGAGTAAGGTGAAATAGGGGGCATTTGTGGGTGAGAAGGCGGTATGCCTACTCTTTTAGTAGTACTATTTTCAACACTAAAATTGGGGGGAAACTGCCTCATTTGACAACGAAATTGGGAAGTACTAGTCAATTGGGGTATGTCTAATTGGTTCATTGATAATAAAGATTGGTGTTGTTTAGGGAGTGAAGAAGATGATGTACCAAATGATGATTGAAGTCTTTGCACCATATCACTATTTCCTTCCTCATTGTCACCACCCATTTGATTTTTTTCTCCAAATTTCAACTCTAATAGTCAACTACTACTAAAAAGCCTTCAACTTTACCAAATCCTAGCTTTACAATTTTGTTACACCTGAATTTCAAAGCTAAAAAATTCTCAATACAAGCTCATCAATGGCATAAAACCACAAAACAAGAACCAAAATATGGACCAATCTTTAAGCAAAAACACACACACACACACACACACAAAAATAGATAAATAATTAGAAACAAAGAAATGGGTGTGCATCTAAAAATCAAGAAAATGAATTGGGTGTGAAAAAAATTGAGTCTTGAACAGTACCTAAGTGTGAATCCACCATTTTAGACGGATAGAACAAAGCCCAAGTTAAAGTTGAAGAGGCTCCTCTATTTCTCTATGTTTTCTCCTTTTTTTCTATATTTGTTTGGTTATCTTTTCTTGTTTCTCTCTCTTTCTCTCTCTACACACTGTATCAACGACGATGACTTCTTACAACTACTATTATTACACGGATTTCATGACAAGACTTACTATACTTTCTACTTCAGACGCGTGAATTTAATATGAATTTCAGTTTCATTTGAATTTGGGGCGCATTTGCATTTCATTCCGACTGCATTTATCGAATCTTTTTTTTTTTCGCCCTCTATCACCGCAGATTATGTAGCAATGAATCTCTTCCCTATCTTCTTTTATTTATTTATTTTCCTTTTTGGGTCTAAAAGAAAGGATTTTTTGCCTTTTTTTGTGTATAGACCAATGAAGTATTTATTACAATCTCTTTTCAAGAGCGTGTGGAGTACGCTCCTTGTCCGATATTCAAAGTATTTCTTTGTTTGGAGATTGATTTGCAATTGCTTATTGAAAGTGTGGCTTAAACTCAAATGATCATTTTCTTTGTCCTTTAGCTGAAAATAAAACAAAATCAAGGAGAAAAATTATATTGAAATTTTACTCCTTTTTAGAGATTTTATTAGATTGACAATATATAGATACTGAAAAGATAAACTATTTACATTTTAAAGAATTTCCATACTATTTACATGTCCCAATTTTGATTATTATTTTTTCATGTATTAAACACAATTTTGAAGTGTTATATTTTTTTTCCGATTATCTTATATACCGTTTTTCAGCAATATCTTGTTAGGTTAAGAAAATGAATCGCAGATTTAACTCATACCTAAAAGCTTATTATTGATGATATAAGAATTATTTAAGATTATATAAGAAAATACCAATTCACTATCTAATCATATATAAGACGGTGTAAAAGTGCAAACACGCCTAGCAGTGGATATTTGAAGCGTTAATATGTAATATTAGGTCCAAGTTTTTGATATTGTGTAAAGAAAAATAACAAGGGGGGTCAATATTAGATAAACCGAGAATTGTTGTGAGAGTAAAATTAAGTTGAGTAATTCAATGTCAAAAGTTAGTTGACATTGTGCGCAATATCGTCAAAAAGACAACGATGCATACCATAAATTAATGTGTGACGATGAAACCTCTCATTGTTTTCTTCAAATGAATAGTGATAAAAACTAACTCTCAAACCGACATGTAAGTATACGTGATCATACAAGTAATAAAGTAATAAATTGAGTGTCGAACTCATAAAGACTTGTGTTAACTATCCACTAGTCTCACCTGAATTATTATTAAGTCGAGTCAATCAGAGTTCAAAAATATAATTATACTAAATAATAATTCTAACAAGAAACTAATTAATCAAACAGTAAAATAATTGTTGTGTATAGGAATATTCCAGAGTTAGCGATTCACCCATTCTTATTGATGTGTCCATGCAAAACGAAATAAACAACAAAGGAGTGATCATACCTAAATTATTGGCACGCATTATCGTGACGGCATTTAGTTGACTTTGACCATTGATATTGGGGGACTGATGGGCCCACTTGTGTGGGATACACACGTGTTTAAATCTTAGATCTATTGAATAATATAGAAATTTATCCATTTTTTATATAAAAAGGTTGAGATGGGCCACATAGTTTCGGCAAGATTTGACTTTTCCTTTCCTTTAATCTGGAATTCTAAAGCCATTTTTAGAATTCCGTCTAAACTAAAAATAACTTACCTAGCGGTTGAACATAATTTTAGTTAAAGCTTAAACAAAAAAATTAAAATTATATTAAATATAATTTTTTTGAAAGTTGAATTTGGGCACGTATTTACTTTTAAAAACAGGCCCAAACCAGTTTTTTGGAACTTGAAATTTTTTCTTCAAATTTTTTTGTCNATATATGTCCAACGATAGCTTAAATTATTGACAGTTTAACAATTTAATCTGCAAAACATCTATGTCCAACAATTTATTCCACTAAACACATATTTAAGGCTTTCTTTCCTTAATGTTAGTTGAATTGGACCCGTCTCGGTTCGTTCAATAATGATTTTGATTAGATAAATGTTAAGTGACACAAACGTTTAGCTTTGCTCTCTGGATGATTGATCCATCTATCAAGATTCTAAGTCGATTTGATCGAACTTAATAAAAAAAATTGAAATTGGCCACATATAAGTTAATGGATATGATTCTACGTCGATTTGATAGAAACCAATCAAGTTAATAATTCTGAATTCGCCTTTGATCAGTGTCGACTTCATTCTTTATCAACAAACTTGTATTAGGAGCATGACACTAAGAAACAAATAGTGTGGAAAATATGAATTATATGAATAGGTATGTATTGTAACAGAAATTGATGTCATGTTAACATGAAGAAATGTAGGTGTTGTGCGGATCTAAGATTTTAAGTTTATGGGTTTTTATAGAAATCTCAAGTCAATATACAATAATAACTGGATTAACAGATTGGGTTCCAAGTTCAATATTCTTATACATTTAATAAATTTTTCAGTACAAATATAAGATCTAGACAAGAACCCGTAACTAATGCACTGGATCCGCCCATGCATGTCGGCAATAGGATGAACAATCCTGGACCAACTTACATGGTGTTAGATTTTCATGTCAACATCTCATGCAACTCATAATTTGATGGATAGGAAATTTTCTAGTTTGGTAAGAAATTATGTAGTCTTTTGACTGACACCCATTTCATTTTTCTTATTAGCTCCTTTAAATAAAAATAGATTCAGAATTTGAAGTAGTGGTTGCAAAGTAACCCACAACTCATATGTAGAGTTAGATTAGTACAATTATAATCTTAAGGATTTTAAGCCTCCTACTGAGATTAAACAGATAAAAAAAAATCGTCTAGTATTTCTTTTTTATTAGAATTTAAACGCCGATCTCCAAAGTTTGTACCCATCACTAGATCACAATCCTTGAACTTCAACTGATCATTATATATGTTGCATAAGGTTTTTCTTTTTAAGATTCTCAACAATATGTGTGCAAAACCACCCTAATGCACTGCTCTTCTAAGAAAAATTGCATTCTAAGAACTAAATTGGAGAACTTTTTGAAAAAAGTACAAACATAAAATAAAATAAAAAGTACATACATTCGATCCCACTTTTTTTTACAATAACAATAACAATATACCCAGTGTAATCTCACATTGTGGGGTTTGGGGAGGGTAAATTGTATGCAGATCTTACTCTATCTTGTGGAGATAGATATGTTATTTCCGAAAGACCCTCGGCTCAAGAAAATAATTTTCAACGGATTTGAACAGGAGAACAGTAATAAGAAGGTCATGTCGGAAATACTGAAAATAAGAACATTAATAACAAAAAATAAAGCATTAATATAACCAAGCAAACTACTGGACACCATGAATAAGAAAACACTAAAATGATAATACTAGTGTAACAACAACAATAACATACCCAGTGCATTATCACAAGTGGGGTATGGAGAGGGTAGAGTGTACGCAGTCTTTACCCATACTTTTAAGAAGGCAGAGAGGTTATTCCCGATAAACCTTCAGCCCAGGAATAATAATACTAGTTCAGTAGTTCTGCTATGTAAAATAAAAAAACAAACAAACAAAACAAACATAGCATATACGAAGTCCTAAACTCGACGATCTACTAACCTTCAACCCTAATTTTCGACCACCCTAACTTCGATTCCACTTTTTTTCCTTGCACAAATTCCAAATAGAGAGAGGAACATTAGTCAACATTACCGGCTATGAATTCCAGAAATTCCTGAGATTTTGATAGAAAGTAGAAAATGTTTGGCCTAATTTGACCAATATCTAAGGATTTCCTGTTCATGACCAAAACGTGAAAATACGTGAAAATGCTGAAAGATTGGTTAGTTTGGAGACCTAACTTTTTTGTGCATAATTGTTGGATAAAATCTCTCATTGAAATTGATACTTTCGTGGGGACAATATTGTGTTTGCTTCTAGCTTCTGGAGTTGAAAAGCATAGATGCAAGTCTCAACCCGTCCCCTATTTGCCTTTAATAGACCTTTTTTACTAATACTAATTTTAGTATACGTGCGTGGCACGTGTGTGTAGCGTCATTCAATTAAAACTATATACATTGACGTTAAAATAAACTACAATATTTGTATAAATAATGAAAGTAAATGTTGATTATCACATTGACACAATAGTTGAATTTAGTATCTTCTAACTATGCAAAGATGATGAAGTTTAATTAATTGTACATTATTTTATAATTATACATATCTTATAATATTCCTCATTTCTTTAAGTTTGCATTTTAACCAATTTAATTCTTAGAACTATAACTAAATTTATTTTATTTTCTGATTTCTTTTATCGCCAATATCTTTTTATGATAAATAATTTTTATCTTCTAGGATTGTGTAAACTTGAAAAATTATTTTACCTATATGATGAATTTGGGAAGAATAAAATTGGATTATTTTGATAATTAGTTAATTTAAATAATTAATTATTCTTTAAAAATATTTAAAACCATATATTAAATATTTACTTATAACAGCTTTTATCCACACAAAAAATTATTTTTAAATGATAAATATTCGAATTTTTGTACTTTATGTTTGTTTAAAGTAAATAACTTTTGTCAATAACTTTTTTTTCTCTTTTTCTTTGCTATTATTAAATATTTTTGTAATTATATATTTAATTATGTTTTAAAATATACAATAATATTTATATCTAAACAAATTATTAATCGAGGAATAAAATTAATAGTCAGTAGACCAATCTCACATAGACTACTTAGAGCACTTACAATTTAATTACGAATTGGGATAAACGACCAAGCAAAATGTTTCTTCTTTCTTTAGTCTTTTCTTTATTTTATTTTGTTTACATGATAATTGCTCACCTAAAATTTAACAGAATTAAACAATCTCTTTTGAGCTTAATAACGTTTAATTAGAGACAATTATAGGCATAAGATTCCAGTTTTATTACTTTAATTCTAGGATTTATATAAGGTAAAATATTAATGATTTTAAAGTTCTAAATATAATATTCTCACTTAATTCAAATAAGGAAAGGTTAAATAAATAAAATTTGATTCAATTTCAAACTCTTAAATATTAGCTAGGAGAATAATCAAATGACTATTT